GTTATAATTTTCATCTACCTCAAACACAGAGACCTAAAGGCCAATCTAAGATCATGTCTTCTACTTTTTAGCTTTCTTCATCTTCACCAACCTCCTCCAAATTTGTTAAACTAAAACAATAAAAATTGGGTAAATGCTTCTGATCACATCTGTACAATGATTATTCAATTTGTCAGCAGATTAGACAACACACAGCTAGATATTACAAAATTGATGCAAAGAAGCCTTTGAGGCTGTGAGCTTTGCCCGTAAGTAATTTTTCACCAAACATAATTTTATTTGGGAAGACAGTAACCTTTTTAGATTTTAAAAAGTCAAAGAGTTATCTAGAGTTATCCAAGCTAATCAATATATTCCTATTGCTGAGAAGGGAAAACCTCCAAGATATATTAAGGAATATAATTAAGGTATGAGTGTATATAAACACACACATATTCATTTTTGAAATTCTGAAGGATACATTAGAAAGTATTTATCTCTGAGAAACAGGATTAACAGAATATACTTTTTAGAATATACTTCAGTTTTTATTTTAAACTCTGCTCTACTGTTTGAATTACTTTTACAATGTTTGTTGGTTGTTTTATTAATAAAAATAATAACTATATGCAGTATTTTCTACATGGTATGCAAGCATCTGCTTGCTCTCTTTAGGAGTAGAAAAGATAGCATTTTTTTCCGAGCCTTCACAGGGCAAACCATAGTGGGGGGGAGACACCCCTCTCCAACCAGTCCAGGCTGGAGGTCTCCCTTCACAGGCTGCTAAGGTCTCCCACCTTTGTTAATTCCTTCCTCCTTTCTAGAGCCTTGACACATGTGTTAAGAGCATATTTCATTTCTATTCTTATAGTTAAAGAGCTATATAGTCCTTCTCTGAAAAACTAACTTGAAAGAGGATAAGGGGAGTCATCCTATTGCGAAAGATACCAAAGAAAAATCAAAATTTTTAACTGAGCTATTTTTTATATAACTACAGTCATCCCTCATTATCCTCAGGAGAATGGTTCCAAGAATCCTGTAGACACCAAAAACTGAACATACTAAAGTCCAGCAGTTGGCTCTGGGGAACCCATATATAGAAGTCAGTCCTGTATATCTGCAAATTTTGCATCCAGCATATACAATATTTTCTATTGTGTTTGGTTGCCAGTAGGGAACCCACAGCCATGGAGGGCCCACTGTATTTTTATTGGAAAAGAATATATATTATAGCCACACAGTTCAAATCCATGTTGTTCAAGGGCCAATTGCATATTACAAAAACAACAAATGAAAAATTTGTTTCCCATTTCAAAGTATAAGATCTACCATTCTTCTAAATCCCATGAGAACAAGAAATGTCAGCCGCCCCCCCCGCCCCCAGGGGCTTTCTTTCCCGACAGCTTAGAATCTTATCTTTGGCTATCTCAAAATGGTTATTTCAGCTAAAATTGCCTTCACAAGAAAAATAATAGTACACTAAAGTTGAAAAGATAAAATGAAATCTACATTGAAATGTTCTGATGTGAAGATCTTAGAGTATATACATTTTTTTTTTTTTTTGTACTTATCCCCTCAGAGAAATGTCTCCAAGTCACAGTAGGGATAGAGGCAAAAGGAAGTTACCAGAAATCATGCTTCTGTTTTTTCTAAAATTTGACCTTGAGACTTGATGTGGGGAGGCTAGTTACTTAGTATCAAGTAACCTGTCCAAATAGTATAAAAACAATTGCTATAGAATTTGTCTTTTGTTGTAAGGTTATGATACAAAGGCACCTATTAAAATTTGTTTGTTAGGGATTCGATGCCTGGGAAGGATTTTAATTCTTCCTCACTGTAAAAAAAAAAATTGTTTGTTTATGTATTCATTCATTTATTTATTTTTTGACTTTACTGATAGATATAGAAAATGAGTGCAATGTCTACCTGGAAAAGTCAAATATCTACTTAGCTGAAAATATACTCCCACTAAATCTTATTTTATATAAGTATTATAACAAAAAAGTGATTTCACTTTTGGTTGTGAAGTATAAAAGTAGTGAAACAAACAATCTATAGTCTGGTACATTGAGCTGTCTGTGGTACTGAAAAATGACACCAAAGCTGAAATTTACTGAGCTAGGTTCTTACAAAGCCTCCCCATCATACTATTTTAATTCAAGCACTTCCTCTTATGACTCACCTGAACCATCTTATATTACCGGAGTGTGTATAAACATTTTATAAAAGGTCACACTGACTTGATTTCCAAGGTTCTCCATGAAAATGTCAGGGTCTCCCCAAGCTTCATTAAGTGATTCCGGAGGACAGAGAGCCAGAAAGTCAGCAATAACACTGAATTTTTCCTGAATGCAGCGTGAAAACTTATCATGTACCAGAAACCTATGCTGGCTAGCATTTACTATGTGATCATCATACCAATATGCTAAAAAGATAAAGAAAAAACTATCATTTTAGAATATAAGTTGCATTCAAGGACACGCTATGAAAGGCAGCATAATCTTGCATCTAGTTCCCTAAATCCAAGCTAATCAATATATTTGGAATTATTTACAGTAATTGGTCCTTTTCATATACACACACACACATACACACACTCTTTTTTAAAATAAAAGCATCTCAGATGAGAACGTGAGGCTTCAGTTTGAGAGTGAAATACCTCTAGATAAAAGTACTGAATGTAAAACTACATCCAAAAAAACTAAATGACATGACCCAAGCATCTGTTCTGAAACTATCTTACATGCAATGGGTTTAACAGAAATCATATATCATACAAAATAGACCCAATTTTAAAAAATCCAACACTTGCAATGTTTATGTCATCCAACACTAAAGTTCACCTTGCCTATTTGCTGAAAAGTGTCAAACCATGTCCTCATTTTTCTCAGCCATGGTATACATACCCCAATCATCATATCTATACATTTACATAACAGAACTGGTCCTCAAAATAAGCCAATAAATGGAATGCTTTCAAGTATGAAATTCTTCTATAAAAATATGATTTCCTGAACCTTTATTAATTTATGTGAGTTTCAACAGTTCTAATATGCTATCAACTTTTTAAAGACACAATGAACGTTTGGTAGCTCTTCTCAGACTCCTGTTAGTTATTTCAAAAAAATCTCCCGATAATTTTTTAAAAGTCAGTGTTTTCAAGCCACTTTGTTCTTGATGTAAATACCAGCAAATGTCCTTCCCCATGTGCTTGTTCAGCTGTGTGATTTTCAGAAGGAACAGGCAATAATACAAATTTAAGTCAGCAAGGTCTCCCATTTCAGAATGGATTAAGTAAAACAACTCTGGCCTTCAAGCAAAACATTTTTTCAAGTTACTTTTTTTCTTAATGTGAGAACATTGTGAAGTAATCTTTTAAGTTTTATCCTATTCATATGCCAAACTTTCAGATTTAGAGGGAAACTACAGACAGAGAAAATCCATATTTCAGGGCATTTGGCATACAGCAGAGCGCAGCAGGAAGCATTAAGGCCTGGAAGCTATGACAGGGCCAGTTCTCTCTGTATACTGTCTAGTTGTGTGATCTGGCAAGCCACCTACCTCTTCTGACTTCAACTTGTAAACTAAGGTAATGGTCCATTAGACCTATTTTGTCCCTTTGAGCTCTATCTACTCTTCAAGTCAAAATGAAAAGATAAATTCATAATATCTAAGTTATATTTAAGTATCACTTTAAAACATTTGAAAGAATCTCCAAAGCTCACCATCATTAGTACCAAATTAAAGATGAATCTATGTAAATTATTAAAACTTAAAAAAAACAAATCAAAAGTGTTTTTGCTTTGTTTTGCCAGTGCAGTTTTGATTCTTATCTCGGAATACTTTCCCTTTTTCAAATTCTCATTCTCTCAACCTCAAAACATTTTTCAAAGTTTTGTAAATATGAAAGCAAGATAAAGTAATTTGTTCTTTCTCACTTTGGGTTGTACATTTTTATTTTGTTTGGGCAATCATTAAAATTTGTTTCTTCCATATTTAGTGTGTTTGCTAAGTACTAATTTAAAATTAATTAATTTAAATTAATACTAAATTACTTAGGTGGCAATCCTATGTGATGTTTAAATGGAAAGGCAGCCTAAATTTGAGGCAGTCTAAACTTGAAGGCTTCAGAATTCCACCAAATGTCTAACAACTGGAAAAAAAAAAATCAGAAAATACACAATGCAACTTCTTAGCTGAAAAATCCCAATCTAATTTTTGGAAACTCTATAGTTATTTTAATTCACAAATCTGAAGATGACCTATACATTCTACAAAGAATATTCCGATATTATCTGTAATGGCTAAATCTAACAATAGAGTTCCGGTCTTCATTTAAACAAAATAAATATTTTTCTAACCAGACAGCTTACAAGGGCAGTGGCCGTAACTCTTAAAATACACTAAAAAAAAAAAAAAAAAAAACCAAACAAACAAAAACTTACTGATTGTCACCGAAAATCTGTTAAACTACTAGATATATAGATTTTGCATTCTAAACTTACAAAATATACATTTTTTAAAAAAAATGTTGGGGGATATAGGGAAGGGTTAGCGCTTTCCCCCATCTCATTTATATAAATTAGCCAGCAACTCATCAATCTGTTTTCTACTGTATGCTACAAAATGATATGGACACAATCTCTCATAATGATGCACCCACTAGGAAGAGGTGTCTCCAACAAGAACACAAGTTTACCCTAGATGAAGGCTAGTGCAGAACTAGCTTTAAGGAAGACAAAAGTTGTGACTGTTATGGAGAAGAGGATCTACCTGGAGAGGGAAAAATCTTAAGGGTTCAACAAATACATCTAAAACTTCTGCATGTTTATATGCTACACTGCCCTAAGTTGTTTTTAACTTCTTGAAAGAACAGATCAGGTGCTAACATAAAACACAGCATGTGTCTTCTGTAACCTCAAGCAAGGACATGCCAGCTTGGAAAAAGTCTCGGCTGCCTTGCGTTTCCCAGGCTGCCTGCCTGGCTTTGGGTCATTCATAAACAGCAGAACCTAAGTTACCTGTATTTCCCTGGCGTGGTACACGATGATCAGACCGAGCAGGATGATCGTGGAGAGACTGATAAGGCATTTCAAAGCTAAGGAGTACAGCGACGCCTGCAACACAGTCAGACAGAAGCACTTTTAAGAAAGAATCACTTTTAATCGGCTTCCAGGAGCCCAGGGTCAATCAGTCCCCCGCAGGTGGACCTGAACTCACAGGAGGACAGTGAGGGGACACCTGTCTTGGCTCTGTGATCCCTCAGATCACTCGGCCTCAAAACCAGACGAGAGGAGAGCAGAGCGGGGAAGACTAGTGGTTGGGCTGCGGCTCCACGCCATCGCCTACCCAAGCGCCGCGGCTCCTGGCCGGCGAAAAAGGAGAGGAAGTTACTCCTGAGTTTATTAAGCGCTGCAGGTTGAAAGGGGCCTCCTAAACACAAGCACCTGAGGAGGAATACAGACGCTTTCCCCCACAGACAAACTCCCGGAATCACTTACTAAACGTGCCCAAATGCGCTAGGCGCCAGCTCTTACTGACTCGAGAACTTTGCACGCGGAAAGGGTTCTTCTCCGAGTAGTCCGGCCGACTAGGGGTGCGCGTCCTAGCCGCGCCGGCTGTCCCGGCGGGCACCCCGATCATCCCAGAAAAGCCGGGGACCCGCAGGCCAAGGGTTCCCGCCAGTGCCCATCCCAACCACCAGGCACCCGGCCCCGGTAGGGTACACAAGGGTTCAAGCCCGTACCTTGTCGTAGGCGCCCCACGACAGCTCGGTCTCGATGACCATGACCACGATGCCGAACATGCCGAAGATGAGCGCGTAGTCGCTGAGCCGCTTGCGCTTTTCGAACAGGGCGCGCCGGTGGCCCAGCTTGTAGCCGATGTTCTGGTTCTTCTTTTTGCTCGACTTGGTGCCACTACTGCTGCCGTGCCCGCTGCCGCCGCCGCCGCCGCCGCCGCCTCCAGTGCTGCCTCCGCCGCCGGCTCCGTAGAGCGCCAGGTTGTTGGAGTTGTTGTGCTCGGGCTTAGACACCACGATCTCGGGGGCTGAGGACGAGGCGGCCGCGGCTGCAGCGGCTGCAGACGGGG